TTCACTGAAAACAAATGGATTTTTTCTGCCTCCCCCCCCCCCCTCCTCACCCCTTTAAGCAATTTACCAAAGAATCGTCTTGTTCTGTCTGCAGCCCTCAACCTCTGGGAAGGGTCAAAGTCCCATCCCTGGGCTTCCTCTTCAATGCTGTTCTCATGTCTTACATTAGAAACCAACAGAAAACTTCTTCTGGCTTTGATAAATTACACACATCTGACTAACTTGCTAAAGGCATTTTTGTTTTCTTTACCTTTGTCTGTAAGGAGCTTTTCTACGTGAAAAAACAAAAACAAACAAAACAACAAAAAAAAAAAAGGGGGGGGAGAATAATCTTTTCAAATGGAATACTATGCAAGTATACAAAGTGATGAAATCATATGGAAGATGAAATAGGGGTTTAGGGGTGTCACTCAGGGTCTAGCAGGGTGCTGGCCCAAGCAAGACACAGGGTGGGTGGGGCTGAGGACTTAAGGGAAAAAAGAAATACTACTTGCAAGCATTTCTGAAAGTGCAGCCAGGTCTGACCACACACTCAAACTAGAAAATGGAGTGTGGTTATGCCTCAGAACCTTCCTGTCTCCCCACAGCACCAGGCTTCCCCGTCTGGAAGGCCATGGGCTTATTTTCAGTCCATGTTGCTGGAGGAAATCAGAGCAAGGCCCATTGGGATGACATTAGAGCAAGGATGAGCACCTGCTGGCATTAGTAAACCCCAAGGATATCCAGTCATGTGACAGCTCTGGTTGGGGAGGATAAAGAGAGAGATAAAGACAGAGCCCAGTACTGAAACTAACAGCATAGGCAAGGACTCTGCTGGCTGGAGAGAAAGACAACAGCAAGCTCTTTTGAGCAGTGTTTGTCTCATAAACTAATGGCCCCGTGGTTGCCCTCACTTTAGGGACACACCCCCGTGGCAAAGGTGTCATGCTAAGCCTCTGGTTTTCACTTTTCATCAACTTCAATACTTCTTCATCCAGGGGAGGAAAACAAATCTCTGCCTTTGCCTGTGAGTCTCCTCCTCTCCCGGTGGACAGTGACACTTTGTTGTCTAACTAATTGTATCCTGAAGCACTTCTGACCACTGTGACAATTACACCTACTACCTCAGGTCACACATGGCTGGGAAACAGGAACTAGGTAGGTATCATGTTCCTTTCCGACACCAAACCTGAAAAGCTAGGTTGGAGAACCCCAGAGTCAGGAGCTTAAAGCCTGTGGGTGTTGGGGGAAATTACAGGCCCTCCCACACACATTCCCCCAGCTACCCAGCCAATAGAGTCAAGGAGGCAGAAAGCACTGTTCAGCTGGAAAATATAGGGTGGAGCCAAAAAAATGTGACCCTAGGTCAGAGGCCACATGCAGCTAGCATGAGGGTCATAGGACATGCTTCTTCCTCATTTGGGCTCTCTGCCTGCATTAGAGGAACACGGGGACAGGACTCAGGTGGACAGCAAAGCCTAATGTAATGACTCTCCAAAATGCCACACCACCCTTAGGATTGGACTGTAAGCAAATCTTCACATTTATTTCAGAGAACAATCATCGGTACCTTCTTGAAACACAAGGTCAGGAATTTCTGCATATTTAAAATTATTGCTCCTAAAGCACACCTAAGTAGATAGGATATGTCCACATTTATAGACAGCTTAGTAAGGGCTAGGCACTTCCCATGATAAGCCTTTGGAGATCGTTACTAATATGCAGAAACAGACGTGCTAAGAGGGACTGAGATGCACCCAGACTACACAAATGACTACTCTCAAAAGGGGTTCCATTGCTCACCTGCCTTGAAAACTTTCTTCACATCCATTGCCTTAAGTAGAAAGTAATTTATTGATGTTTTAAAAGTACAGTTTCCCCCAGTTGGCACAATGTGACAGTGGCACAGTGTGACTGAAAGCATTGGGCGACTCTGGGTAAATCACTCAAACTATCTGCTCCTTCGTCGCCTTAACTGTATGTTCAAAATGCTACTATGACATTTTCTCAGGCAGCTGTAGGATTAAATGGATTAATATATATTAGTATCTGAAGCTATGCCTGTTGCATATTTAAAGTTGTTTAATTATACGTTATTACAAAGTGACTAGTGTCAATTCGCTTACACCATTAAAAAAAAATAACATGTAAAAATGGAGGGGGTGCTTATGGACAAGTAGAGCCAAGGAGATTCTTCCAGAGCCTTCCATCCCAGCAATCCGAAGAGAAATGCTGGAACTAATGTTCTCTGATAACAGTGTCAAGAGTTCAAGGAAACCATGTGGTTTTCATTGGAACTGCAAGAAGAGTTTCCCTAGACCCAGTGTGTCTCTTTGGGGCTGAGCACAGACGTGCTGCTCAAAGTCCCCAACATGACTAACTTGTGTTCCACTTCATTAGGCAAGAATCTGAACCTAAAGATAAGCCTGAATCTCTAAGTATTAAAATCTTGCTGTAAAAGAAGGAAAAATGAGATCTTGTGTTGGGAACTCTGTAAAGTTGAATTGGTGGATGGGAGCTTCTTCAGTGGGAAGACTCAACTTTTTTTTTTTTTTCTGGAACCACATCTCCTGTCCCCATCCCGAGATGGATCATGTGTATGAGTCCCTTTGCTCTATAGGTGGGAATGTGATGGAGCTTGGCTCCAAACTAGAACAGAGGGCATAATCTGAACCAGTGGCAGTCTGCACAAGCTCTTCTGAGAAGAATGGGGGAAATTCTGCACTGTGAGACTGATAATCCCATGACATACAAGCCCATGTTCTTAGTCCTAACTAGAAAGGTTCCAAGGATGAAGGCAACAGGGAGATACAGAGCTAATGGGAACCCTGAATTGCAGCACCCCGACAACCCCAGTCAGCCACTTGGATCCTGACATGCTTGCTACTAGCAATTATACAGGAGTTCCAGTCTATCCTGGCTCATTTTCACCCCTTCTTTTATTCTTTTTCTTATATCAACTCAAGTCAGGTTTGTACAACTTGCAAACAAAATCTTCTGAAAAATACTAGCACATAAGCAAACAGTAGAAAATAAGCAAGCAATATTGCAAGCTGATAGCGGCCACTCCAGTTCCGCTGAGCAAACAGGAACCGGGAACATGTCATGCCATGTGCAAAACCACAATAAAGGCTGGAGAGATAGTTTCCAACTCAGAGTCATGCTCCTAACATCCTGAGAAGTGAGCGGGCTTCTTGTTTGTAGGAGGTAAATGTAGGCCTCAATTCAAATGATCTTTGCTTTTTTTTTTTTTTTCTTTAGAAGTGGTTTCAATTATTCACTCTTTCTAGATCCTGAGGCCTAACCATATCTTAACTGCCAGCTCATAACACATGAACCTATGACTTAAAAGATTATTAGGTTAGAAATACTTGCTATTAATGAAAAGTTTTAAATGGGTCAAACTGGGGAAATGGCAATGCATTTTCTGTCCCTAGAGTGGATGCATGTCACAGGAGTGATGACAACAATTTTATAGTTCAAGATTTCATAATCATAAACCATGTTGAATGATGTTTGTCAGCCATTCTAAAGAAGAGTGGAATCGGCAATGCATTTACTTAGCAATGGTGAAGACAGAAAAATCAGAATTTCCAAGCATGTTCTGCCTACATCTTTTTCTCTCGTTGGATAAATACGATTAGGCAACAGTAGGGTGGTAACAAAGCAGATTCCACGAAGGTGCTACACACAGAACAAAGCTGGCATCACTCATCTAAATGCTAATAATGTAATTGGAGACAATTGTTGCTGCTCTTGATGCTGATACTAGCTCTTTTGGACATGGCCTAAATGGACATTGACCACAGAATACTCTTGAAGTGAAGGATACCATCTGATAAGCTTTACAATAAGTTCAAACCCTACTATGCATTGATACAATGATACATTCACACAAAACTACCTGCAGGTAATACTAAAAGTATCTCTAGGGGATGGCTGCATCGCAATGTTGGTAACTGGCCCATAAAGATCTGGTCCTATAGGATGCTTTCACTCCAGAGAAACCATCATATGTTCTGATGTACAGAAGGTGTATCACTACATAGAAGGTGATACTGTTGTGGTGGCTTGAATGAAAATGGCTCTTATAGGCTCAAGTATTTCAATGTTTGGTCCCCTGTTAGTGGAATTGTTTGAGAAATGTTGGGAGGTGTGGCCTTGTTAGAGGAAGTGTGTCAGCGGGGATAGGCTCTGTTTCAAAAGTCTCACAAGGCCCAGTGTCTCTCTGCCTGCAGATCGGGATGTAAAGGTCTTAGCTACTGCTCCAGTCTCTCTGCTCTCTGCCATTATGATCAAGGACTAATCTTCTAAAACTGTAAACAAGCCCCCCAATTAAACGCTTTAAGAGTTGACTTGGTCATGGTGTCTCTTCAAAGCAACAAAACACTAAGACAACCGTATTCAGTACATTGATTAGTCAAGGATTCAACATATTACACAAAAGCAATGCTAATAATACGGGGTAGCTGGGTTGGCTGGACAGCATAGGTGAGGGAAGGGAATTCTGAGATGAAGGGCACAGACATCCTCTTCCAATGGAGAAGATGAGCAACCCATTTTGGGAGAGTATATCAGCACCACAGCTTGGCATGAGATAGCCCGAGTTTACATCATATATTCACCTACTTCTCAGGGGGAGGAGAGTGATCTAAACAGAAGCCACCCAATACAGAGAGATAAGAAACCAAGATGGCGGCACTGTCTAGGGAACCTGTGCCAAAGAAGGGGCCCAGCCACTGACACAGGACCAGTCACTGAAATAACTGAAGGGCAACACTGGGTTTCTGTCTACATCAGGGTTAGTCTGGAACTGTGCCATTGGTGCCTTCCATTAAGTCTCCTCCCCTTTAGGGGAACAGCCCTCCAGGGGTAATCTAACTTCCTATGACCATGACTCAAAGGCCACCCTCTAGAAGGGCTGTGTGACACTCTCCGACAGGAAGGCAAGCTGGTGGGCAAAGGACAGACAGCAGAACAAACAGCTGTGCCACAGAGAAGACATGGTGGATGGACCTTACTTTAGAAAGGCTGGGAAGTCGTCACAAACTGCTTCACATCCTGGCCACTTGCATACGCCATGTCCGTAGAGAGGGTGGCTGTGGGGATGCTCCTCATGGGACAAGCTACAAGGAAACACACAAGGTGAGAGAGTGAGTAAAACACAGCCCAGACGCCAGAGAGTCCACATGGCCCAGGGGGCGTGTGACAAATCTCACATTGTTATTCCCCATGGAATCTAATTAATCTTGCTTTTTTTTTTTTTTTTTTTTTTTTTTTGACAAGAGTTAAAACTATGAGCTATGAGCTGGAAGATTATGTTCTAAACATATTTAGGTACAATTGTCTGATGTCAGGAACCTACCTCCATGTGTGTGACAGGTTTTTGTTTGAAGCAAAGCTCTCTATCCAGACAGCAACGGCCGTTGCAAAAACCGCCATACTTTCCAGAGTGTACATGGTATGACGGGAAAACCTGTACTGGATCTGCATGGCTGGTATTTTCCACACAGGGACTGTTTACATTTCTTCCTCTCCTCCTCTCTATGACAAAATCCAAGTGTCCTCTTTTTTTTTTTTTTAATTAATATTATCCAGCGAAAAATACTATAAATAATAATGTGCAATACTAAAAGATATTTTTCAGGGTAAATACACCCACACCGATGAGTAGTTTAGAATTAACTTGTGGTGGTGCAAAGTATGTATTTCTCAAGTTACTGAAAGCAAGCTTGAGAGTAACCACGGACAGCAAGGGGTTAACACTCCAGTTGGGTTCCAAATCGATAAGTAATGATCTGGCCACTGGGATCAAGTCAGGGGATGCTTTGATCTGAGCCATGTGGTGCACCGGGAGGGGTCTGTTGGGCTTGCGACCAACCATACTTTCAAATGTTTTCTCTATCCTCATTTCTTTTAGACAAATTATTTTTTGCAGTCACTTTGACAACCTTAGATTCCATCAAAATAAAAATGCAAAATGAACATCTAGAGTTCTAGTTTGTACTTGGGTATACTCCCTTCTTGGAATGGGAAGGACTAGTCTGCAATGTTTGCACACACACACACACACACACACACACACACACACCACGTGCACGTATGTACATACATATGCATCTTGAGTCTTGTATTTTATCCTACTACTGAGATGCCTTTTCATCTATTTTCTTGACCTTGACCATGTCCTTGGACCATAGGTACCCACTGAAGCTCCTGGCCCCTCCCTTACAGCATAACCCACCCACAGTGAGCACATTCCCAACCCTTAAATCGAAGAGACCCAAAGTGAACACATCAGAGAACAACACCTCCCAAAAGCAATGAGGTTCCCCCCCCCATGCTTTTAAAATTATTTTGTTAGAAATCTAACAACTTGAAAATACCTATGAGGTACTTTTGCTCTCACAAAGGAAATACACATGGGAACCAAAAGGAAGATGGAAATTTAAGAACAGCAATGTGTAAAGGTAGCAGAAACGTTCCTCTTCCAAGGGAAGGAAATACATGAGAGAACGAGGCTGTCAACAGTGAGAGTTGTGAAACCAATGGCAGAAAGGCACCTCTAAGAACAGAGGGTAAAATGGCAACATTCCACTGGACCCAATGAAGGTTTCACCCACAGGTCTATGCATGAGCAATTACAAATCACTGGTAATCTTAGCACTGAAAGACTATTTCACCAGTATCACATGCCTCACACACTCTGAGAGCAAAGGCAGAACTTATTAAAAGCATTTTTCTTAATGGTTTCAGAAGAATCCCCACCTCACTATTTTCTTTAGCTATTTGATGAGAGGCTAACTGAAGTATTCTCCTAGTTTTATCATAATACATATGCATGTGTAAGTGTATATGTAAAAAGTCTGAAAAATACTGAGAATAAATATCTTCAGATACACATAAATATTTAATTTTTTGAAAAATTAAAACATGAAGGGTTATGCTCTATAATGTCATTTTGCTTTTTAGACATTTAAAATTTTTATTTTATTTTATGAATATGTATGCTTTATCGGCATGTATATATGGGTACTATGTGGGTGTCTGGCGCCTGTAGAGGTCAGAGGACCCCCGAGGGAATGACGGATGATTGTGAGTTACCATGTGGGCATTGGGAACCGAACCTGGATCTTCTGCGAGAGTAGCCAAGTACTCTTAACCACCCAGCCATCTCTCTAGTCCTCCTGTCATAATGTAAAAAAGGGTTATAACTAGTATCCAAAACTTTCAGCTATTGATGGAGAACATGCTATTATCTTAAGCATGTATAACATTAGCCATTCCTATAATTTGGATACTCAGATTTCTGTTATATTTCTAATCTTTATAAGTAATATCCCAGAGATAAAATTTATTAGGCTAAACATCTTGGCATACACCAACTTTTCTACCAAAGGACACATTTAGAGAAACTTAGAATCAATGAATCAATGACACTAGGACTTATACCATATCAGCTTTTCTGACTGAGTGAGTGCATGGTACCCACCAACCTGCATCACTATGTGTATGTGTGGCTTTCGTTCTTCAGGAGCCTTGACTATTGAGATCGCAAAAACTCCTACTACCAGTTGGGCACTGCAAACAGTCAAGAGTTCTCAATTATCAACACAACATGCACAGCTTACCATGATGCTTGCTGTCCTGGTTATTCTGATGAACTCATGAATAGAAACTACTTCCCTTTAAGTGTTTATTTCTACTTCAACATGGAATCACCTGAAGGACAGAGAGATAACCTAGGCCCCAATTCCCAAAGACTACAAGAGTGACAACTCCGTGCACAGAAGCACATATTTAATTGTTTATTTAATGTAAAACACTGGTCCTTATTGTGGAAAGACCACATGCTCTCTTATTGTCACACAGTGCTGAGTTGGCTGACATGGTATCCATTCACCCATCCCTAGACATCACTATTTACATTCTTGTGGGTTACTGCTCCATATCTCTCTTCTGCTATGTTATTATTTTGTAAAGTGGCAACAAACGCTGTCACCAGCTTTCCATATGTACTGTGTAACAGAATACGTTCAAATACTCCATTGTCTAAAGAAAATACTTAGATTTGGTTGTGAGAAGAGGTTGACAGTGGTACCCTGATGGGACCTCTGCAAAGACTCTTGAGACACCAGCAACTCAACACTGGGTGATGTATTGGGAGTCACGGAAACTTGAGTATTTGCTTTTTATGAGGTTTTCATTTTGTCAATTGTAGGAACCTGCTGACATGCAATTGCTAACAGTTACATACACTCACATATACAGTAGGAACAACAGCAAGTACCACTCAAGACTGGATTTGCAGTCTGCAACTGGCTATGTTGCCATAGTAAACTATACAGCCACCATGGTGCATGGCTGAGGCTGGCTTCTGGCCTCTGGGTCATTCTGCACACAGCTCCACCATGCAGCTTCACATCTCTGGATAGGACCTTTGATGTTTCATCAAGAGAGAGAAGGAAGGAACATTAGATTTCCATTGCTTTCTGGCTTTTAACGAAAGAGCCAAGAAAGCAAACACAAACTCTTTAATGTTAGTTAATTTAGAGCTGCAGGAACAGGCTGAAAGATAGCGGGCAGACGAGGCTCAGAGCATCTGATGGTGGGCAGCAACCCTGAGACTCAACATAGCTGGTCAGTGGTGACCATGAGGCACAGAGCAGACCACCAGTGTCTGTGGAAATGCTCACCACGTTTGCTTTTAAGGTGCTCAAACACATTCACCCAAAATTAAACTTTGAGAAGTTTGGATCAATTTTTTTTTCTTTCTTGGCTTCCTTTTCCTTTTCTGTCCCCATCCCTCTCTCTTTCCTTCTTTTCTTTGCCCAGGTGGCTTTGAACTCTAGGTAACCAAGAATAACCTTGAATTTCTGATCCTCCAGTCACTCTCTGCCAAGCTTTGGTATTACAAGTGTGTACTACACTATGCCAGGCCCCAGGTCAAATGTTCAATAAAATTTTAGTTTGTTTTACTATAAACTCTCAGGTTGAATATTCCTAGAGGCAAGGATCACTCATTCATTCTCACATACTGAACACACCACACACTGCTCAATAACTGCTTTGTAGATTTATCAATGAACAGACAGCAAACACCTTGTCCTATTTCATTTTTTGTGTGGTAATATACTCAATATTTGCTTTCCCTTATTCTTGTAGGTAAAGACGAGAATTATGCAAACCCACAGGAGAAAATATCGGCGAAGATACTTTGTATTACTTAATTTTATTCAGCCTATGTGCAACACAGAGAGATGCATTCGAGAAAAGCCAGTTGATTTAAATCTTTTCTGATAATCCTTGCTACGTAAAAACTAAATATAATTTAACACGAGAACAGTGGTAGCGTTTCAGATGTGAAGGAGTCAACGTGCCAGGGAAAGTATAATTACATATAGATATGAACTAGCTCCTGACACTACATGGTACTTATCAATGCGTTTACATTTGCTATGGTGTGATGCCTCCATTCCCAATGACATTTGCTATGCTATTTCTGTTCGATTTATTTTTCCGACATTGACATACGCCAGCCACAGTCTTTACTTGCACATGGGTGGTAGAAAAGATTTTCTTCTCAGTCAGCACTGGAGCTTGAACCCTGGGCCTTCTGCACATGGGGCAAGCATGCTACCCCTGAGCTTCTTGGGGCTTCTTGGAGAAGTTTGGGTGTTCACCACAGGTTACTACCCTTTATAGCCGCCAGTTCATTGCCTAGCCCAGACTAGAAACTGGAAGTTTTTCTGTTGCCCTGCCACCAGGACAACTTCTCAAGATTGTAGTCTACAGGTTTCTGTGACACTTAAGCAGGGGATCCCCTATAGTGACTGAAGGAAGAGGGATTCTTGACTAAGGAGACAGAATGCAGACCTCACCAAATCAAACATGTCCTACCAATCTATATGCTGGCTTTCAGTGTATAAATCAATTCCAACATCCACCAAAGCTGTAGCTAAATATTTCTTAATGCAAGTGACATGTGGACTGCCATGTCTTCTGAGTCTGCCTGAGCTCATTTTTGTCTCATCCCAAAATTGCCTACTTGGTCTCTTTAACTTGAATCATTTGTAGCAAAAGCCAACACTGGTGTCTACTGGGGCACATCCCTCCCTTCTCCCTA